TGGCTCCATCCTCCTTCAACCCACCCTTTAGATACTTGTATGCCATAATAAGGTCTCCCCTCAGCCTTCTCTTCTCCAGGCTAAAGAGTCCCAGCTCTCTCAGCCTTTCCTCACAAGGGAGATGCTCCAATCCCTCAGTCATCTTAGTTGCCCCTCACTGGACTCGCTCCAGCTGTTCCCTGTCCCTCTTGAACTGGGGAGCCCAAAACTGGAGACAGTATTCCAGTTGTGGCCTCACCAGTGCTGAGTAGAGGGGGAGAATGACCTACCTCGACCTACTGGTCATGCTCTTCCCTATGCAGCCCAGGATTCCATTGGCCTTTTTGGTGACAAGGGCACATTGCTGGGTCATGGATAATTTACTGTCTACCAGGACCCCCAGATCCTTCTCCTCAGAGCTACTTCCCAGCAGGTCCACTCCTAACCTATACTGGTGCTTAGCATTCTTCTTCCCCAGGTGCAGGACCCTGCACTTGCTTTTGTTGAACCTCATTAGGTTCTTCTCTGCCCAGCTCTCCAGCCTGTCCAGATCACGCTGGACGGCAGCGCGGCCCTCTGGAGAGTCAGCCACCTCTCTCTGTTTGTTATCATCAGCGAACTTGCTGAGGATACACTCTGTCCCCTCATCTAGGTCATTAATGAATATATTGAACAAAATTGGACCAAGTATTGACCCCTGGGGGACGCCACTGGTTACAGGCCTCCAACTAGACTCTGTGCCACTGATCACAACCCTCTGAGTCCTGTCACACAGCCAGCTCTCAATCCACTTCACTGTCACCTCATCTAGCCCCTTTCTTGTCAGAAAGGCTTTATTTAGAGTGTCTGAAGAACTGTGTATCTTTAATTTTCCTTTATATTAAAGGCTGTTTCTTTCATAGGAAGAGGTGGGTGAAGACATGTGTAAGGAAGGGGGTGGCCGTTCCTTCCCAGGGAGCACAGGGAAGCAGCCCTCAGACTGCGAGGTGGGAGGATGGAGGGGAGCAGGGACAATGCAGTGAGGACCCGGAGCCTCAGTCCTCAGCTGTGGTGGCCAAAACTGTCCTGGGAACTGCACATCTGTGCAGAGATTGCCGCAGCTCAGGAAGTCGGGAAATTTGTTGAAATCAAACTGGACAGTAAAGAATCACCCTGCAAGGACACAGTGAGCAAGGGGAATCTAGTACAGCCTTTGCCTTTCTTTCTGCTTGACTTAGTCACTGGAGGTTGCTCAGTACTGTCTGACTTTCTAAAGTTGAAACACCTTTAGGTCTTTCTTAGAAAAGCCACTTTATGGAAAAGGTTCAGGCAAATCCACCTCAGAACCCTAGTATACTGGGTCTGGCTGGGGTGGAGGTGACAACATCTAGCTGACTTGGAGTCCCACAACGGCAAGTAGCAAACCAGAAGAGAGAATAACATCTGCACTAGAGACTCACGTTTTCTTGCTTGAAACATAGCTAATGCTGAAACAAACCAAAAGCCTGGCATGCAATATGTATACTTTCTAAAAGTAGGTACATAAGGTCACAATTTTCTTTCTTTTTCCCCTTTGCAGAGCTTCTAAAGAATTTGGATTGTTTGTGTGGGGGTAGCTACTGCTGTTGGTGGGGCGCAGTGCTTGTTTTCACTTCATAACCCTGGTGGTGCCTGTCACGCAACGCAAGGCAGTGCTGTGAGAGTCAGGGGGTGAAAGCTGAACGACTGCAATAGGAGGAGAATTTTCAGATCTGATGGGTTTAAAGTTACTGGGGGATTCAATTAATCTTTTTTTTTAAAATTTTAATTAATTAATTTTGTAGTGTTCTAGTGAAGGTCAATGGCTGACTAATGCTTTGGACAAAGGATGCTTTTGTTAGAGACATGTTTTCTTGGAAATAAAAACATGCCAGTATTAAATGTATTTTGAGACACTGACACCCTGCCCCTTGACCAGCATTGCTGGCGTAGGCAGACTGCTGACCTCCTGCCCCCTGCCACTCTGCCCCTTGACCAACATCGCCAGCGTAGGCAGGATGCTGCCCACAGTATCCGTGTGAGGTGTGATCCTCTCAAATCACACTGCTATTGTTGAAGCCAAGGGGCAGCATGACTCTTACCCACATTCAAAAGGCATTTATGTGACTGGTTGTTGCTGCCAGATGACCCAGACACCAAGTGTCCTTGGCTGTCCACCAGGCCATGCCATCACTTACGATGCCATGTTTGCTATCGGTGATCAGCTGGGTTTCAGTACGGGCACTGTATTGCTCATCTTTCCTACTGCCTCAATAAGGCTTTGTTTTGTAATGCATTGTCAGAGTCCATCACTGTTCAGACCGCAGACACTCAGCAGATAATCTGGAAAAAAACATAGGGCAGTGTGTTTGGCATCAGAAACACAGGGAAATATTGTGCTGCCTAATGTGGCTTCTCCTCTCCCTATTTGATTTCTAGCTGCTGTGTCTTGATCATCTCAGTGCTGAAGAGCTGTAGCCCCTCTTCCTAAATGGTAGCAGTAGAAAAAACAGTAGAACTGGGACATACATGCTCTGTTTGATACCCTTCTTCACCTCCCAGCAGCAGCATTCCTCATATTTGCTCTGTGAAGAATCAATAGTTTAAAAATAGAGGTGAGGGAAGGAAGGAGAAAGAAGGAACCTTCTGAGACCAGCTACACCCATAATTTTCAAAAGCCTGGCTTATTTTTAGAATCTTTACTTTCCTGGTGACATTATCACAGGAGTCCTTGTTGATGTCAATAAGTGTGTTTTTATATCATTGTAACTGATTTAACTCTGTTTTTGTTCATCTCCTTTTCTCTCCCAGTGGAGTTTTTATACTGTGATTTGGCTTCCATGAAGTCTATACGGCAATTTGTGCAGCGGTTTAGAGCAAAGAATTGTCCACTCCATGTCCTGGTGAATAATGGTGAGTTCTGTTTTTTTCTTCACATATCTGCAGGTGAATATGTGGCAAATGGGGCTCTCGTCTATGGCTTCACATTTCAAACTGATCGTCTGAATCACATGGCAGGTTACAATATGGCTGCATAAACACGGATGTCTTTCTAGGCGTTAAATTGCATTTTTTTGAGAGATTGTCAGCTGAGCAGACTAAACACTTCAATGCCACCCCTGCTCATGATGTTATTGCAAGTCTTGTTCCTTTGCTGTTTTTTATCTCTCTAGCACTAAAAATCATGTGACTGCACGAGCATCAGAGCATCCATAATTAAAAAAAAAAAAAATAGAAAGGAAAGCTGTACTTTATGTCTGTAGAAAACCTGTCCTTTTGCCTTGATTTATTTTTTTCCCCTTACATTTTCCCTGTTTGAACACATGCATTTACTGTGACTGTCTGGCGGCCTGGAGGGGGGGGGGGCGAGGCTTAATCCATCTGAAATATAATCTAGCAAATTATCTAGAGCAGTGACTGCTTAGATCAAGGTGCTGCTGCAAAGTTGTCCATAAAGCTGCATCCTCAGTGGTCAGAGAACAAATTAAAAGGATAACATTTGTCTTGCATTCATACAATTATCAAATAAATCTCATTACTCGTAGGGATTTTAACTTTTGTTATTCACACACTTGCTGTCTAATTATGTTTTATAGCCACAGTATTTTTGGAAACCATCCCATGCAATAATTTTCCTCCAAAATCCCTGCATGCTCTGCATACGCTTTCCTAAAGGGGAATTTTCACCTGTCTATTTAACGAGGGGAAAAACCCGCCAGCAACAATTTAGGCTTCTTTTAGAAATTTTCTGCTGTTATATGCTGCTGTTCTTGTTTTCCCAATTATTTGCATATATTTTTATTAAGACATCCCAAAGAACATTTTCTGTTCTCCTCTGCACCCTTCAGCCCCAGTGAGGGCAAACGTGCTGTAAATAAATGGTTTTGTTACATTTGTTGATGCCTTAAAGAGCTCTCAGTAACACAAGCAAATATTGCAATAAAAATTCAAAAGTATTTTATTTCCTGATTGATATGAAACATTCATGAAATGTTCAATTAAATGGTCGTTTTTATTTGATTAGTCAAAAAAGCCTACCATTATTATTTTAATTGTGCAATAATTAAAGGTAGTGGATATTTAATCCTTGTTACAAAATCTTTCCAGTTTTATGTGCCTACTTTTAAAGATGCAGAATAAAAACTGTTACACAGATGGGAACGACACTACTTGAAAAAAACAACATTTTGTGGAAAAAAAGGTTTTGAGTTCTATGCACCCGTCATGCATCCCCTGCCCTCCACAGGTTTTCTGCACAAGCAAAGCCAGGACTGTGCAGCAGGGGCTTGGGGGCAGCTTGTAGGAGAAATGATGGGTCTGAAACAACAGCACAGCTGGGAAGCCCTCTTGAATAAAGGATTTTGTTCTGCCCTAACTGGTGTTGAAGCAGGATGGATGAAAATTGTGGTTAATATGTCAAGAAACAAAGTTATATGGAAATAGATCTCCTAATGTGCCTATTACAATACGAGACCAAAGAGCGTAGGCCCAAAGATTCTTTGAAAAAAAAGCTTGAGACTAATATTTGCCTGAATCAGTCTATATTTTTGTGACCTGCAAGAAGGGCATTTGATTTCTCTTACTCATGGCCACCAAATGCAATTGGCAAGAGAAATCTGTTGGTTGAGAAAATCCTGTTAGAAACTACAATGAAATGAATGGTCCAACTCCGCTTTTTGCTGAATCTTTAACAGGATCATGTCCAAAGCTGCTGTAAAGCCTCCTGTACAATTAGGTTAGTCTTTGACCGTTACTTGGCAAGTCACCAGCCTTCACTTCCGAAAGGTCTTTCCTGCATTTGTTTTTTTCAGTCCTTTTTGTTTGTTCTTGTAAAAAATCTATAGCATTTAGTTTTGTTACTAGTTCCGTAGTGAAAGCCCAAGTGATTTCTTGGTACACAAGAGGAAAATTAACATACCTAATGGAGGAGAAATGGCCTAATGCAACAACCTCGAACAGTTTCTCTTGGCTTTCCGTCAGTGTTGAGCACATCCGATAACAATGCTGATGTTTGGACTAACTGGTAGGCTTTTCCTTTTCCCTTTCCCTTCCTCTTTCCTTTTTTTTTTTTGTCATTTTTTTCATTGTAATGCAATGTGCTAAGGAGGAAGATTCAGTCCATTGTGGACTGCAGGGCTGGAGGCACTACTTACTCAAAAGCCTCATCACTGTTGCCACCTCCAGTGCCTTCACCGCATGATCCCCTGGACGCAAACTTGGGTGCCTGGAAGAGGAGAATGATCGCAATATTTAAATGTCTGATGGGAATGAGTTGTTGGGCATGTGTATGCTTTATGTCAGAAAACTGTTGTCAATAGGAAGGCATTTTGCCTGACCATTAGATGTCTGGTAGGACACTTCATAATTTTCTTATGTCTCAGTGTATGCATCTAGAATAGTAGGTTTCTTAGTATCAGCTAGTACTTTTGTATTTCTTACAGATCTTGAAACTCTAGCATTCTTGATGTGAAGAGGTAGTTTTATTTTGTAGCATATGGGGAAGAGCCTGTGGGCCAGGGCATCTGCACAAGGCATTTGCAGGCAGTCATATGCTTTTAAGAGTCTGACCCACAGTCTGTTGGGGCTAATGGAAAGTCTCCATTATGTTTTGAAAATCAGATTTTGTGTGGGCCCTGTGACTCCTGAATCAGACCATCGGCAACCAAATAAGAATTTTTCTCTTTATCTTCATAGGTCCAAGCATTTTATTGTCAAGGACTGTACCCTTTTATTACATTTCATGTAAAAATGCCAAGAACTGTTACATTGCATTTTTGGCACACTAAATTAGTATTATTTAATTGCTTTAAATAAAAATCTTTTAAATTGATTGATATAATCATGTCTATACGTTAGTGATTTTTCCACATCTTATATCCATGAATATGTATGCTGTATGTAGGTATGAAGGTATATGGTATTTGTGGTGGGCTTGTGTGAACCTATCAAAACCCCAAACATTTCAAGATGAATTGAGGAAAGTTCTAACTTTATACAGTAATGCAAACTATGAAATTAACATTGAAATATTATTAAAGACAGGTGATTTGGCATGAATTATTGTGCTAGGTAAATAATCAATACTCCATATCTGACCTAAGATCATTATGAAATTTAGCAGTTTTCCAGGTCACTGGTGACTTTCTGAAAAAATGTATCCCCATCGCTGGCCTAGCTCAAGTATCTAGTTGGAAGTTAAATTAATACTAAAATCCTGAGCTTCAAAGTATTCTCCTAAAGCTAGACATGCAGGTCCCACAAAAAAATCAGTAAGGTTAAGGTATCCAACTAATTCAGGCACCTGTCTTAAATGAACATTTAGGGCATTCAGAATGGAGATTAGTGCACTAGAGTCACCTCCTCTCTTTTTGTTATAGCTGATTTTAGCATATACATTTAACTTTCTAATTTCTAATTTAAAAGGAAAAATTTGGTTGAATGCACGCATTATTTCAGCTGACAAATAAAGGCCTGTTGTTCCATTACTATGCTTTCTGCATCAGTAATGTGCATGCTCAGCTCTTGGTTTTTAAAATAAACAAAACATATTAAAGATGCAAATAGAGTATTACATAAACATTTTTTAAAAAATATAATGTGCTAGCGCTGAAAAGAGAAAATGCTTTGACACTGAAAACAAATTCATTTTCTGTGAAAAAAAAAAGTAATCTAAATAGCTGAACTATGGGCCACTGAAGGATGGATGCAGTACAAGCAGTTTAGAAAACTTAGTCTGACAGGTCAGAAGAATACGTCTTCTAGTCCGCTAATTAGCGATTGGGTGCCAATTTTTTGTTTTTGTTTTTGAAAAGAACCGTGTCTTCGTACAGTTGAAAAGCATTTAGCAAATTACAGCATGTACACTAGTGTAATTATTTAATACATTCATTAAAATGGTATTGCTGTTAGACTCATTAGAAAGTCTGCTATCTTCCTGTGGTTGCAAAAAGGACTGATAGTAAAACATTTTATAAAATTCCACAAGCACTAGTCACTGTTTCATGGCAGAGAGGTTTTTTCTAACTTGAAGTCAGTCATTTTTTCTGTGTGCTAGAAATGTTTCTTAGCACCTTGTAGTTAATGTTTTTACTTATACATTGTTTACAATACTTAGTGATCTTAAACTAAGAGAGCTAACACCAAAACCACAATATCTTTAGTGATAACAGAATACCTATGGATACCACACATGCACTACTCATATCTAACTCGTTAGTTTCTAACTGATTAACAATGTCTAACTATCTTCTCTGTTGCAGTTCATTGAGTGGTTTCTGATTTTGGCTACAGGTTTGGAAAGGAGGGGGAGAAAATTACGAGGACATTTAGTATATATCCTGGCATGCACACAAACACAAAAAAAGCCCTTAGAGATTTGAGGATATTGTTAGCCTATTGTAGACAGATTACAGTTAATATATTTCAGGTTGAAGCCTATCTAAGCCAATTTAAAATCAATATTTCTGAACTGCTGGCTAATTCAGATGTTCATATTTCGTACTTCGTGGATTATCTGAGAAATCTCAGTCTCTTGATTTCCTCTTTCCCTCTATAAGCTTACCTTATAAGCTTACCTCTTTAGTCCCTAGGGTACAATAAAAAGGTGTATCAGTAGGTAAGTATGAGAAATATATATTTTTTATGTTACCTACACACAGTTGTATGTGCAGTCCAGCCATAATCCTTTGCAGGGAGCCATTTGAGTAGTACTGTAGATGCTACCGTGGTTGAATTAAATTAAAACCAAATTAAATTATTCTTGTGTTTGAATACTTGCAGGATTAGAGCTTCAGAAGAAGTGTGAGATTTGAGGGGTGGAAACAGGTGGATATATCAAATACAAACATTTTTATGGGTACCTACCTATTCACAGTTATCACTGATTAGTTGGGTTTAACAATAGTTAATTACAT